AACATATCACCAGTAACAAAGTGTAAAAAACATTCCAAATGCTGACGTCATCAAAATATCTGAATTTATCCAGCAAGTCCAGCAGGCTATTGATGACAATCCTAGAAAATCTAGGATGTCATGTGTCAGAAGGCACAATCAGAAAGGTTGTCAACAAAGACATCAGATATAAGTCTTATGTGATGAGGAAATGTCAATTTAAGTCAGAAATAAAAGAAAATTGCTTAATCCGATCTAAAAAGCTCTTGAAACTTAAAAATCCTGAAGATGATGTGATTAAGTGTTTCTCAGACAAGAAAAACTTTGAACAAGAAATTTACCAAAAAAAACAATGACAGATTTATGTGCAGTCCCTTCTGAAGTTCCAACAATCATGCACACAAAATTTCCTACAAGTGATGCCACCTCACTTCTTTCTAGGTAAGCTTAGAGTTAACTCTGCTGCTTACATCAAGGTCCTGGAAATAGTTAAACCCTGGATAGACCATCTTGCGGCCTCAGCCGAGATTGAACTCACCAATACTTTGATTGGTGTAGTTCATAATCTTGACAAATAGCTGAATTCTTGATGCTTTGCTAGGGCTATCAAGGGAGTTTTTATCGCGACACCAACACTAAAAGGATTGCCAACCAAGGCCCAGAGAGACTCCATTCACCCTCCTCTAAGAGCAGGTTTGAATTCAGAGTTTTCCTTCTCCTAGACTAGTTGCCATCAAAGGCTATAGAACCCAGTGTCCTGCTATTTACCCATAGCTGGAGGGAGAAAGAGGATTCACACCTTTCCCAAAGGTGTTAGCACGTAAGTGAATGTAATGGATTCGACTGGAATTTGAACTCGGCTCTCCGATTCCTCAATCCAAGCCACTATCCATTACTCCACCATGCCTCCTGTTTCTATAAGACTCTGCACTATCACACAAGACTCAAGTAACACAGATCATATAACCCCTAACATTTGGCCTCCTAACTCCCCAGATCTCAAACCATTGGACTAGTATATGTAGGACGTTGTTGAGAGAGGTCAATAAACACCTCCATAAAACCAGAGATTCTTTGAAAGCCGCCATAGTTAGAGTAATGTCCAATATGAACCAGGGCTATTTTATTCGAGCATGTAGATAATATTGATCTCACATAGAAGCAGTTATTGATGGTGCAGGTGACTTTATTGAATGAAATTATAAAAAAAAAAAAAAAAAAAAAAAAAAAAATTTTTATGCTTATAACATTTTTCAATAATAAAATAATGTTGTTATACATGTTTTTCCCTAAACATAAATCTGTCGTCAAATACTTTATGCACCACAGTTTCAATGGACGAGATAAATCAAAAATGCCTTCCAGCAGTTTGCCAATTACCAAAACTTGAGTTTTTATGATGAAACAAATTCAAAAGTAGATAATTAGCAACACTGTCTGTTCTAATGGTGCTCATCATGATGCATTTGAGTTGTAAAATTCTAATGTTTTTGTCTCAAAACAACAGTGATTCATTTCTTTCCAACCTGATAACAAGAATTATTCAGTCATTTCTACTAAGTGAACCAAAGAGATAATTATCACTTATTCTTGCAGAAATACCATCAGGCAGAAGTCAAATTACATTGGAATGTCCTTGACAGGTGTTGTGAAATTGTGTGTAAATTCATTCAAGATTAGACCGATTTTAAAATTATAGTTGATCTTAACTCTGCAGAATAAAAATGAATCAGTTGTTGCTTGAGGATATCAAGTACTGATTGTAGAATTTTCAATGAAAATAACAATATATATGGTAGAATAAGACAGCAAAAGCGGATATCAACATTTTACAGTGAATAGGTAAGATATGTGCATATAGATTTGATTTGTTTGTTTAACAGCACATCAACTCCTTATGGGTCATTTAATGCCAAAATTTAATTTTCTTGGGAGTTTTGAAGTAATAAAGATACATTATTCTTCTTTCACAATTGAATACATAGTAGATGATGCTCAGCTTTTACACATATACATGTTTGTGTGATTACTAGAGGTGGTGATACGTGTATTTTATATTATAGTTTTGTTGAAGTTATATTTTGGAATACAGTTTGATTTCCTTAAATTGTAAAATATTATATAGATCAATGTCATGAAAGTTCTTCCATGTTGGTTGTTTGATTTTGTTTAGCAGCATATCTACCCCCCGAGTTAATGCCAAAATCTAAAAATTTTGAACAATTTTACGGCTTCAACTAAATATGCACTAAAAATATGTATTGTTTGTAATTTTTTTGTTTTATATATAAAAATTATTTCTATACTTTCATAGTGTTTTGTTTTTCTGTAGGCACATAATTTCTGGCTTATAGGTTGTAGTCAGTAGTGATGATCTATTAAGATTAACTTTAGCGCCTTTTATATTCCATTGTATTATTGTGTTTGTCATTGTTTTCACTTGTTTAGGGATTTAATTTGTGGTATAGGATTTTATGTTTTGCCTTTTTTAGTTTTGCTTTTGGTGGTGCAAAGACTTTCTGCTTTTTCCGTTTTGTTTAATGAATCAAATTGATTTTTGGTTTCACTTTCATCCTTGTTTTTGGAGTCATTGTTTCGTGTTTTTTTATTGCTGTTTGTTTTGGTTCTTTAAAGGGATCTCTCTTGAGATCCCGGAGAATGGCAATTTTGTTGAGTAGGCCAACTGGAGATCTCTGATAGCATTAATCTTTATGGGGGATATTTTGATATCTTTAGAAGGGTTTCTGACAAGTAAATGGTTCTTTATTAATTTCACTTTTATTATTCAAATTAAGGTCTAATTTCTTGAGAGGATACTGACTAGGAATTGTTCTTTTACATTACTTTTGCTTTTATTGTTCGAATTAAGTTTAAGTCCTTGTATGAATTTCAGCCAATCATTTGGAAATAGTTGCATAAATTTTTTTTTTAAGTCATAGTTTTGTATTTATCATTAGCTTTTTTTTTTTTTGGTGATTTGTGAGTAGATAATGTCTTTTATATAACCTGCCATGGTTTTGCCTGCTTCCTGATAGATGATTCGTCATGTGGTCCGGATCTTGTTGACTTTATTTGCCACAGTTTTTCCATGGCAGGCATCATGATGATGACCAAACTTTCGACAGTTATAACATCGGGAAGGGTTTACGATATAATGTTCAACCTTCTCGATGTTATAGCTTATTTTGATTTCTTTTAGAATTGTAGGCATATCAAATGTTAATAAAGACATGTTTGTTTGTATTAGTTCTCCCCATTGTTTAATGCTGACTCTTCTTACATTGATGATTCCTTGTTTTATTGTTTTTTTTGTTTTGTTTTTTTCCCATTCTTCCATTGAGCGGTGGGACAGCTCTCTGCTTATCACTCCCCATGATGTGTTCAATATTTTGTTGGGGTAGGCCTTGATTTTTACTTCATGGAATTTTTTGAATCTTTAGAAGTGTCTGCATTTCTTTTTTTTTTTTTTTTCAACAAGTATTGCTCCATTTTTTAGGCTTTTAACATTGTTTGACATTACTTTGGAAGATATCACACACATATATATATATATATTATAAAAATGGAGAGAGTTTAAATCAAGTCTCCTCCACTGATTCCAAAATTATAAACCTTGTGAATGATATTCTCTCTTTATCTAATTCTATTTGTGTGTGCAGACTCTTGAAAGTTTTTTTGAGAATTAATCATACAAGTATTATTTGGAGTTCATTGACCAGGATCTCCACCTACCATGGAGCCCCACAAAGGGATAGACCAAAGAGAGAAACCCATTTGTCTTGGCCTATCAGGGCTACCCAGTCAGTATACTTACACTGGGGAAGGAAACAGTTTTAAAAATCCTCAAGCTTTGATACCCAAGATTACTACTAACCCAGAGATATTAAGTTATCATTGTTTCTTCTTCAGCATAATTGACCCTAAAGCCACGGCCTTCTGATTTGGGAGAAATCAAAGACTTGACATCTAAACCCAAATCCTGAAGCTTTCAACCACCAGGATCACGTGCCCTGACATTATAGGTTGCCATCTATGGTAAACAGGTAGCCTCATTGAGAGTTTTTAATCCTCTGCAGAGGTGCATATTCTAAATCCCCAGCTTACAGGGAAGATGTCCATATAGAGTAACCACTTACAGGTCTCAAGGGTGCCAAATAGTAAGACATATTTTACGAATAAAAAAAATACATAAACAGATTGTCCTCATCTAAATTACTTTTTTTTTTTAAATTAACATTGCGTGCAGAAATATTGACCTTGTAGATATTTCTAAGTATTTAAGTAACTTAGATTTTAGAAGTAGAAAACTCAGCACTAAAGAATTTTTTATGGTTAGAATCTTCTTCCTACCAGATCAAATTCCTTAACCAGTAATGCATTATTATCAAACTTCAAGTTCTGATACAAAAATGCAATTTCAGATATTAGCAGAAGATTAAGACAAATAGATTGATTCATTTCTTTGGTTTTTTTTTTGGTTTTTTTAACAGGTTATTTACAGCCAGAAAATATTTTTTTCAAATATTAAGAATTTTTTAGTTTTCTTTTTTTTTGAGGTAATTATTTAGTAATACAAGTCTTGCTAATTAACTCATAGCTGAGAGAAGAAAAGGATGATTCATACCTAATCAGAATTTGATGAACAAGAAATTATGTGGATATAAAATGGGGGATGTATTTTATATTACAATCACTATAAAATGATCCCTCACTTTGTGGCCGCGGTAGTTTCTATACATTTATATTCCAGAAAATGCAAATAAATGTAAGAGACAGGCCTGTGTAGCTAATCAGTATTTTATCGATTGGTTCATGAAGGTTATTTAAAGCCAGAAAGATTTTTTTTAAAGGATTTAGTGATACAAGTAACCCACAGCTGGGTGGAGGAGAGAGGAGATAGATTCATAGCTTTCCCAAGGTTATTTGCACATGTGAATATAATGAATCCAACTGGAATTGGAACTCTGATCTCCAATTAACAATTTCAAGCTATTATCCATTCTACCACTGCACATCCAAACTTACAGCACCTGGTATTCCAAGGTGGTCACCCATCTAGCTACTGACTTAACTCAACATTGCTTAACTTCAGTGATCATATGGGAACTAGTGTTTCAATATAATATGGCTGTAAGTCTCCCCAGGTTTGAGCATTCGAAGTTGAAAAGAACTCTTACGAAAATCTCAAAATCACAGAAGATAGTCAGCCTGAGCTTGTATGTAACATCTGCGGGAAGGTTGTCCTATATTGTCGGATTTACTAGTCATCGAAGATCACATGAAATTTGACAGTCTAAAGCCAACAGTTTCAACTTGATGTGGGTGTAAGTAAACCAAGTAGACAGAAAAAAAAAAAATGTTGATTTGGGAGAATAAAATACACATGAAATAAGAAATTAGAATTCATTTGAAAGTATAAAATTAACAATAGTTATTAAATCCACTTAATTTGTTTGACATCGGATACTAAACAAGAAACTTCTTGTATACAGAAAGGAAATCAATTCCTTTATGAATTTCAATGCAAAAATTTTGATACTTTTAGAATATCACTTGAACACAATTTGAGAGTACAACCAGCCATGCATAAAATTGGGGGATCAGTTTGGATGTCTGGTAAAAAAAATAATCAGTTGAAAGAACAGACAGGACAATCGATTCAAATTCCTTTCTCTAATTTATTGTATACTAAAATGTACGTACATCCATAAAAATAGGAAAAAAAACCAAAAAACAAAAAAAAAAAAAAACTAAGGTTTAAAATGAAATTTTATAAATGAAAAATCTTTCTGAAAGCTGTTATTTTAGTTTTAATTTCAAGCTAATAGATTAAATTTAATATTTCCAATAAGCAAAATATTTTACTGTATTTCAAAATTAATTTAAACTGACTGGAAGGAGTTTTTCTGTGCTAAAATAGCTGATTAGCTTTTTTTATTCTTTTTTTTTTTTATTTTAAGATGTCTTTCATCACTATGTAATTCTCTTTATTAAAAAAATCTTCCAAAAATAAAACATTTTCCTGGAATTATTTGAGGAATATTAGCTGATTTGAAACAAATATTATTTACTTAAAGTTCAAAATATCACAGAAAGGTATTTTTAACCCATTTTTAGCCATGTTTATGTGTTTGACAGGTGATTATAGGTCTAATGTTGTTCTACGAAGACTTTATCTAAAATATAATTGAAGCAAATGACATGAGCACCTTTTTTTTTTTTTTTTTCTCCTCTTTTTATTTAATTTTATAGTACTCCGTAATCTTAAAAATTTAGGAAAATATTCTCTGTAATCTAATGTTTTATCAAATTTTAGAAATTTTGGCTTTAAATTTACTATAGTCATCTCTCTTATTTTCTGATAATGTTGTGTACGGTTGATCACACTTACAAAAACAGTACATTTATACACTAATAAAAACAAAATCATTTAAAAAATATTGCCGTTTGATGATTTGTATTAAGCTTTTCCATTTATCACTACTGAATAGAGTTTTCACTTAATAGAATCAAAACCTAGTAACTTTTTCTAATTAAAATTATTAAAATATGAAAACAATTGTAAAAATTTATTCATTCAAAAGATGTTTCTCTTAAGACAATGTCCTTAATATATCATTTATAAAAGCAATTAAAAGCTTTTCGAATTAAATAATTAGACAGCTTTATATTTTTATTTTCCGGTAAATGGTGCTTCTGTTTGACAAAAACAAATTGATGATTTAAATTCTCCAAGGAGTCCTGTTTTAACTAATATAAATATGAACAGGGTGAAATTTTAATTTCTCAATTTTATAAAATTAACTGGTAACAAATGTAAAAAAATAATTATATATATATATATATATATATATATATTACAAACACACCAAGATTTTCTAAAAATTTAAAAAAATAATTTAATTCATTTGTGAATAAGTCATGAAAATTTCATTAAAATCCAACAATTATTTGATTTTTGCAAGAATTCCTAAAACAATGTTTTTTATTACAAAAAAGATTCCCTAATATTAGGTTGGTGCAAAAATAATGACGTAATAATGTCGTTTTTGAGGTTAAAAATACGTCACAAAACAACATTATTACGTCATTATTTTTGCACCAACCTAATACTAATCTTTGGCCCACTGCTGATGATTTTAACCAAAATTTCGAACATGCTAGAAAGGATTAAAAAATTTAATAAAAAAAAATACTTAGGTCTTTCCTCTTAATAATAAACATTTTGATGATAAGACTTTGTGACATTAAAACAGTTTAATACCTGCTTTAAGTCATTTTTACATTATGACAAGTTATTCTTTTGCAATTAAAATTTCAAAGAATGTAATTAACATTTTACAATTTTTATAAAAACATGATTATTGCTGTAAATTTATTTTATGCCCTGCTATTCAGACCAACATCATATTTTGGCTGTTATATTTACAATGTTTCAGCAATTGTATCCTCTGGCCTTCTTCAGATGTTTATCTTTATATTCAGTACTCTTTGAATTTCAAATTGAACCCTTTATTCAAGACCATGAGTGTAAATTGTTCTCATTCAATTTTCCATGCTTAGGAGGGATATTTTTGTATCGGTTAACAGACAGGTCTTAGACACTTTTGTGTCACTTGTTGTTTCTTCTACTGAAATGGAGTGAGTGATTTTTCAGGGACTGAACTTATAACTGGCAGGGACCACCCAATGGTTTTTAACCAATGCTTTAATTTGTTCTCTAGCCATTACAAGTTCAATCCATGCAGCTGGCAATGCTGATTAATCACATACTCTCATTCAGTGCAAACAATAAGACAGGTGAGTATTAATACAAAATATCTTAAAGCATGGGAAAATGAAAGTAGATCAATTTGCCCCTATGGATTGAATAATGGATATAACAGTCAAAACATGAGTATAACAATGTTGGTCTGAATAGTAAAGCATATTATTACTACTACTACTAATACTACTACTACTACTAGTAATAATAATACTTCCCATTGAAAATTTGTTGGAATATGTGACGTTTTTATGAACTACCTAGAGGAAATGAACAATTTGCAATTTGGGAGTTATGTTTGCAAAATATGAAAAGTTTATATATCATCTGTACTGAAGTATGAATTAAAAAAAAAAAAAAAAAAAAAAAAAACGTTACCAGTGCAATCCAAAGATGCAATTTTGACCAAATGACTATCAGTTTTTTTTCCTCTTTCTGAGAAGGGCGTCTTGGACAGACCAAGAATTTTTCAACACATCCTTGTATATGAGAACATATTTTATACATACTGGATATTCCTTAATTTCCACAATATCCTGTTGAGCAAAATTAATTTTCAAGGTAGAATTTGATCTATAATCTAACAAATAGAAAAATAAACAAAAACATCTTTACACTTCTCAACACTGAAGATAAATGTACATTACAAGTATAATTTCAAATGTGTGAACACAAACAATGCAGATTAACCCCGTTTGGTATAGTAGTAGTACAGGTCACAATGAAAGGCAAAACAAATTACTTATTGTAGAATTATGAAAATTCTTTTTAAGATTTAAAATTAAGGGCAAAAAGGGTAAAGGTAACTAAAGGGTATTAAAAAAAAAAAAAAAAAAAAAACGAGGCAGTAATTATTTTTATTTTATCAAAGTAAATTCCATTATTAAAATAATGGATTTTCCAATTTAAAATTACTTGAGTAAGCAAGTTTTTCTCCTCACATTAGTCATATAGTAAATTTATTACAATAATGATAAAACTATTTTTTTTTTCATAATAAATCTTGTTCATAAAGTAATTAAAAGCTTTTCTAATTAAATAATTAGAATATTTTATTGCATTTTTTTTTTTTTACAATTCAGAAAACTTTTTCAGTAAACTGGATGTCCAGTTTAAAAAAAAAAAAAAAAAAAAAAATAGATGACTTAAATTCTCCGAAAAATTCTGTGTTTAATATAAACAGTAATCAGGACAAAAGTTATTTCCCTGAAATTGCATACAATTAAATGTATTGGACAGATGTATAAAAACATTTTCTAAAAAGATACCTTGCTAAAAATAATTTCATTCATTTGTGAATAAATTCTGAATGTTTTATTAAAATCCAACAATTATTTGATTTTTGCAAAAAGTTCCAAATCAATGTGTTTTTCACCACAAAAAACAAACACTAACCTCTCCTATACTAATTTTTTTGTGTTTATCATCTCAATTTGACATTGGAGTGTATATATATATATATATATATATATATATATATAGATAAGTTACTTGAATTGTCACAGTTTTGTTTCTTTTTATATACAAGACACATTTATGAGGATGGGATTTTGTCCAGCTACCTCTACAAATATATAACTCCATGTAGATTTTGCACAAGTAAAACAATTGGTGATTTTTCTGATATGTTGCACAAGGCTGCAAGCATGGAGCACCCAGTAAGGACTGAACTCGCTATTTAGTCATAACTGATCTAACAATTACACATTGGAGTGCCCAAAAGTAATTTACTAAGCAAAGGCCAAAAGTAAGGAACACCCAGTGAGGGTCAAACTCACTACTCAGTCATGATTGATCTAGTCAAACAAGCTTGCTGACCATTACACAATGCCAAAGTTCTTAAATCATAACTTACGAATTTATACAAGATCCCTCAAAATTAAAATCTCTAATCTAGATTATATTCATTAAGACAACAAAGTCAAACTTTGGAGGATTATTCTGATTAGTTACTAGAGGCTGAGAAATTATCTACACAAATACTTAAGATTAAATAGTTAATTATTTCAAAGACACCAATTAACGAAACTGATCAAGCAATTTCTACACAAAAATTCTCAACACTCCTTTTGCAGTTGCAAAACTTGCAATTAGGTTACAAGGTTAATTACATATGAAAATAATAAAAATTTGGATTTCATTACCAAGTCTTTTTAAAAAGTAGTGATAGAAGTTGTGGCAAGAGAAAAACATTTACACTTCATAAAAAAAAATGCCTAGAGAATTTCCTATTAACATCAGACTTATTTTAAATGGGCATCATTCTATAAAAATAAGTTGAAAGGCATTTTGTCTACATCTAATAGAATTTAATATTAAATTCAGTCAAGAGTTGATTTTTTTTAAACTGAAGACATTCCAAATTT